TGGCACTGACCCCGAGGTCCTGGGGCTCGCGCCCTCGTCACTGCTGACGCAGGCAAGCGGCAAGAGCCGAGGCCGACCAGGTGGCTGGGAGGGGCTCCCAGGCTCGACTTTTCCACACCCTCCCTTCTCGCATTCTCGTTGTAGCCAAATACGCGGCCCCGAGAGTTCAGCAGTCAGTGCCATGACCCAGCCCGCTGTCTCTTTAAAGATCCATTCATTTATTGAAAGCATTGGAGGGTGGGGGTGTCTTCCATCTGCTGGTTCCCTGCCCAGGGCTAAACCAAGTTGAAGCCAGGAGCTCCATCCGGGTCCCCCACGTGGGTGCAGGGCCCAAGCACCTGGGCCATCCTCCACTGCCCTCCCGGGCCACCAGCAGGGAGCTGGACTGGAAGAGGAGCAGCCAGAACTAGAACTGGTGCCCTTATGGGATGCCGGTGCCGCAGGCAGAGGATTAGCCAAGTGAGCCACAGCACCGGCCCCAGTCTTTGTCTTTTTATGATCCCATCTAATTTTTATTTCCCCAAAGTTTTTTTCTTTAAATTTATTATTTCCGCATATGGGATGGCAACATTGAAGGTGGTGGTTTTACCCACTATGCCATGGCATCAGCCCCTTCATTAATTTTCACTTTGTCAAGTATTATCATATGTACAATTACATATATTAAAAAAAAAAATAAAAGGAAGGGGGCCGGCACTGTGGCCGGCACTGTGGTGAAGCAGGTAAAGCCACCGCCTGCAGGGCCGACATCCTACAGGGACGCCGGTTCGAGTCCCGGCTGCTCCACTTCCCATCCAGCTCTCGGCTGTAGCCTGGGAAAGCAGTAGAAGATGGCACAAGTCCTTGGGCCCCTGCACCTGCATGGGAGACCCGGATGGAGCTTCTGGCTCCTGGCTTCGGATCAGTGCAGCTCCAGCCATTGCGGCCATTTGGGGAGTGAACCAGCGGATGGAAGACCGACCTCTCTCTCTCTCTCTCTCTCTCTCTAACTCTGACTTACAAATAAGTAAATCTTTAAAAAATAATTCCATCTTTCCAGGAACTTTTTCTAACAAATGTATTCATTGACTGGTAGAGAGAGAACGCCCACCCCTGCTTCCTGCAGTACCCACAGTGGCCAGGGGGTGGCGGGGGCTGAAGCCAGGAGCCGGGAGCTCCATCGGGGTCTCCGCATGGGTAGCAGGGACCCAAGGACTTGACCCACTGCCTCCCAGAGCCTGCGTTGGCCAGAGGCTGGGGTCGGGAGCCAGCGCCGGGCGGCAAACTTGGGCTCTCTGATGTTGGACTTGGGCGTCTTAACGCCTGTCCCCCCGCTCCCCGCCCCATTTCTCTTTCGCTTAATGAACCCCTCGCAGGCTGTACCACAGCCAGTGCAGGAGATCCAAGCCAGGAGGGCTGCCCGCACCCGGCCGCCGGCCGCCCTGGGTCAGGGCGTGTCCTCACCCGCCCTCCCGCGGAGGGCCTGGCAGCCCTGCATCTCCCTGCCCGCCGCCGCTGACGCCAGGGCCAAAGGCCGGGCCCCAGCTGCCGCACTGGCCTCTGTCCAAAGCCAAGCTCCTGGGGGCCAGACCGGTTCTGGGGTGAGCGTGCCTGGTGAGGCAGGGAGGCAGCTGCCGGCGAGGAGGAGGAGGAGGAGGAGGAGGAGGAGGAGTAGGAGGGGGAGGGGGTAGGAGGGGGAGGAGGAGGAGGAGGGAGGCGCCCACCAGGTGCATTATTCAAATAAAGACTTCAGAGGGCCCCCGGCCTGCAGCACCAGCATTCCACGTGGGCGCAGTCCCGCCTGCTCCACTTCCCATCCAGCTCTCTGCTGTGGCCTGGGAAAGCAGTGGAGGATGGCCCACATGCTTGGGGCCCTGCACCTGCGTGGGAGACCCGGATGGAGCTCCTGGCTCCTGGCTTCGGATCGGCGCAGCTCCGGCCGTTGCGGCCATCTGGGGAGTGAGCCAGAGGATGGAAGACCTCTCTCTCTTTCTCTCTCTAATTCTCTAACGCTTTCTCTCTGTCTCTCCTCTCTCTGTGTAACTCTTTGAAATAAATAAATTAAAAAGTTAAGGGCCGGCGCCGTGGCTCAATAGGCTAATCCTCCACCTTGCGGCGCCGGCACACCGGGTTCTAGTCCCGGTCGGGGCGCCGGATTCTGTCCCGGTTGCCCCTCTTCCAGGCCAGCTCTCTGCTATGGCCAGGGAGTGCAGTGGAGGATGGCCCAGGTGCTTGGGCCCTGCACCCCATGGGAGACCAGGAAAAGCACCTGGATCTTGGCTCCTGCCATCGGATCAGCGCGGTGCGCCGGCCGTGGCGGCCATTGGAGGGTGAACCAACGGCAAAGGAAGACCTTTCTCTCTATGTCTCTCTCTCTCACTGTCCACTCTGCCTGTCAAAAATAAAAAAAAAAAATAAAAAATAAAAAAATAAAAAAAAATAAAAGTTAAAAAAGAAAAAGGAGGAAAAAAAAGCCGTGATGGTCAGGCGGGAGGGAAGCCCCCGGCGAAGCCGGATGCGGTGTTCAGGACGCTTCCAGGGAGCCCCCCAGGACTGCGCGGCTGGGAGTGGTGACAGCGAATCCTCAGAACCGCCCCCGGGCCAGGACAAAGGGCACGCCACGGGGATGGGAACTCTCTCTCTGTAACTCTTTCAAATAAATAAATAAATGTTTAAAAAAAAAAACAAAACCTATGCACGGGTTTCAACATGTGGCACCAAAGGAAAATAAACACTCTTTAAAGACATTTCTTTGAAAGGCAGAGTTCCTGAGGGAAGAGGGAGACATTCAGAAAAATCCATCCGCTGTTGGTTCTCTCCCCAGATGGCCACAATGGCCAGGGCTGGGCCGGGCGGAAGCCAGGAGCCGGGAGCTCCTTGGGGGGCTCCCGCGTGGGGGGCGGGGAGACTGTCCTCTGCTGCTTCCCTGGCCTTAGCTGGGAGCTGGATCAGAGGTGGAGGCGGGGCCGGCGCTGTGGCAGGTGAAGCCGGCATCCCACGGACACCAGTTCGGCTGCTCCACTTCCCATCCAGCTCCCTGCTGTGGCCTGGGAAAGCAATGGAGGATGACCCACGTGCTTGAGTCCCTGCACCTGTGTGGGAGACCCGGATGGAGCTCCTGGCTCCTGGTTTTGGCTTGGCCCAGCTCCGGCTGTTGAGGCCAGGTGGGGAGTGAACCAGCAGATGGGAGACCAAGAGACCAACCTCTCTCCTTCTCTCTCCCTCCACGCCCCCCCTCCCACACACACACCCAGGTCCAGGAAGTTGGCGACTTGCCCTCCTGGTGGCCACGCCTGCCCAGGTGTAGGGACAAGAGCCGCTTTGACTGTGGCCTTGTCGCCGCCTGCCCTGCCTCCAGCTCTGGGGACAGTCTAGGCCAGGTCCCTCCCTGTTGCCAGGTGGGCGGGGGAGGCGAGCAGTGGAGGGCGCACACCTGGCACGGCGCCTCTGGTGCGGCTTGCGACGCCCGTATCCCCTCCCAGAGGGCCTGGGTTCGAGTCCCGGCTCTGACTCCAGTTCCAGCCTGAGGCTCGTGCCCTGGACTGTTGCAGTCCCAGCTGCCCTTCTCTAGCCCCTGCTGATGCGTCTGGGAGGCGGCAGTGACTGCCCAAGTGCCTGCCCCCCCCCCCCCCCCCCGGAAAAGAAAGGGGGGGGTATCCTTGCACCCTCTCCTTGGAATGAGAATCCCGTCCTCCAGAGCCTTCGGGTCTTTGTCCCAGTCCCCAGAGCCAACTTTTTTCTCGAGTAAATCATTTTACTATAACAGGGTCCAGCTCTGTCTGTGATTAGCTGAGCTACTAGTGAGTCAAAGCCTTTTGTTTTTCCATTGCTTTCTCTCTGATCTTGCGCTTGGTTTATGAGAGATCTTTATCTATAAAGTAGCAAACTAGAGCCTGGCAAAAGACTATAAAC